TCTCTCTCTCTCTCTCTCTCTCTCTCTCTCTCTCTCTCTAAATCGCAACTCGCACAAGACATCCAAAGTTGGAAGCTTTGATGCAGAGGAGTGGTGATAGGTAGTCTTTAAGAACTTTGGAGCTCTGAAAGTTTTGATTTTGGTAACGCTTTCCCCTAACATGCAGTTTTTCTGTTGTCCCTGCACCATGTTTTCTATGGTTTTTCAATAGTTGTTTTTTATAGTTTCAGGAGAAGATAGAATTTGGGTTTTTCTCAAGATGCAATCCTTTAGATCGAGGTACTGTGAAGTTATGGTCCTCCTTGATGGATGTGTTGAGTGGATTAGGTATTTAGGTTTGTTTTCCTCTGTTCAAGCTGTTCTGATTTTTATCCTTTTTCTGTTGTTTTCAATTTAAAGATCTGGGTCATCGGAGATGCAACCGAAGACCTCTTCATCTGCTCGCAACAGCAGGAGGAGCCTTTCGCCCAGTCTAATAAGAAGAAGTTCTCCTGTTTCGTCTAATTCGATCGATTCCAGACCTTCCAAGGTTTCGGAATGGAGGCCAATTCCAAAGTCACAATCTTTCAAAGAGGTGCCTATCTGACAATCACAAACTTCCTTCTGCAAGCTTTGGTCTTTAAAACCGAAGTTCTTCTAATTTTAGTAACTGATATTTCTCTGGTTGCAATAGAAGCAAAAACCTGTGAGAATTTCCGAGATGCAAGAGCAATGGGGCCAGCTTCAGGAGGACCTGAGGAGGGCAAAGGAGGAGAGATCCTCTGCACTTGAAGAACTTGAAGAACTGAAGAAGAAGAAGAAGAAGAATGAAGAATCATTGCAGAGCAAAGATAGGATAAATATGTTAGAAATAGAAGCTGAAAAAGCAAAGGAATCAGAAGGAAAAATGCTTGAATCATTATTTTCTCAGACCAAACAGCTTGAGCAAACTAAGATTTTGCTCGAAGAAGCCAAGCTGGAGATAAGGAACCTTCTTAGCTTAAGCAGTCAAAAATTAGAGAATAAAGGATCATTAGCATCTATTCAGAGCATAGAGGAAATCGGAAAGCTGAGAAATGAGCTCAGATTAGCTCTGCAGGCAGAAGAGAAGAGCAAGAAAGCCATGGATGATTTAGCAATTGCACTCAAGGAAGTGACGGCTGAGGCCACCAAAGCAAAATCAGAGCTTGCCGCAACAAAATCCGAGTTAGAAAAGGCTAGAGCTGAAGCTGAACGTTCTGATAAATATTTGTTACAGAGTACCGAGCAGAAGCTACAAGTTGCGTTGAAGGAGTATCATAAACTAAAGCAAGAACATGAGCAATCTGCAGTAGCTTGGAAAGAGAAAGAAGACATCCTTATAAACCGTATAAAGATTTCCCAAGAAGAAATGAACAGTAAGGATCAAGAAATAAGCAGGCTAACTGATGCACATAGAGTGGCTAGAGAAGAAACTTCTAAGCTTAGGGATATAACCAAGCAAGCTGTAAGCGAAGCGACGGAGATAAAGGAATCTTTAGAGATTGCAAGATATCAAAAATTTGAACTTGAAGAACAACTCTCAAAGAACAAAAATGCCTTGCAGCAGATTAAGCAGGATTATGAAAGCATTAAAGTGAGTGAAGCTGCTGCTCTTGATAGTGTGAAGGAGTTGAAGAACATTCTTGCCTCAGTATCAGTAGAAGATTCAAAAAAGCCTTCAAATTTATCAGATTTTGAATCTTTCAGACAATCAAAAGCAACAACAATTGATGATCGAAAGATAAGCAAGAGTGAGAAGAAATTCTCATCTGATAGATGGATGAACATGAAGCCTCTGGTACAGAATGGCCATAGGCATTCAGTAGGAGAGTCAGATATGTTCAAACGGTCGGCATTGGATAGTTCTGTTTCGAAAGTACCAGATATTGGTCTCCCTTCATTTTTGTTCAGCGATGATAGAGGATTGAACACTGATGATTTTGATCATTTGCATGGGACTCTATTCAGTGACACAGAGAATGAGAAGAGGAAGAAGAAGACAGCTCTGCGAAGATTTGGAGATGTGTTGATGAGGAGGAGCATTCGCAAATCGTAGTTTGTTATTAGTATGGATCCTTTATATGTATTTCATTTTGCAAAGAAGACAGAGATATAGATTGTAATAAGGCTTATAAAAGTGGGTGAAGGAAGGTTCAAAGCTTAAGGGGGGGAATGATATAGAAAACCCAAAGCAACTAAGGAGATCTAATTGTCTAAGCATTATGATCAAGTTAGATTTACTAAAGAGTAATGGAAAAGAATATTTTTATTTTGATATGCAACAGTAACAACAACGCAACAATATTATCGAGCTTTTATCTCGCTATATGAGGTCTGCCACATGATTCTTTCATCTTCATTGTATCCTATGAAGAGTCAAAATTTTATTTTGTTATGAAAATATTTTAAAAAAAAGGTAGTACTTTTTTTTATAAATTATTTAATGGTTAATTTTTCAAAGATAATCTTCATTTACATGAGCAAAATAAATAGAATGATGAAGTATTATATTTATTTTTGAGAAATAATCATTTAAAAAAAGATGCACGAAGAAAAAAGATTTAGGAGATTTAGGGGTTATTTGGTTTGTTAAAAAAACTAATGCAAAGTATTCTAAATATCAGGGATTTCAAATTTTTAAATTTTGGTGGTTTGTTTGATAGAAAAGGAATGTAAGTAAAATATTGATTAATTCTTTGTTCATGCTGTTATTCTAAACTTGTATGTTTTTGGTTGAATTTTTTTTTTTTGCTCCATAAAAAATGACCACTATCTGACTGTCAACTGCTATCGAATTCCGTCAGACCATCATCAGACTATCGACATCCGATGACTACGGTCTCTTTGACCTCCGTCACCCACCGACTACGGTCTCTCTAACCTCCGTTGCCTGCCGCCGATGATCCCTTCGACATCCATCACCAGCAAACTACAGCCGCTCTAGTCGGCGGGCACCTCTAGTCATTGGTTCTAGCCAACTACATTCTCTCCTACCACCGTCATTGTGGGACAATATGCACTAATCACAATGAGAAGCATGAATAACGATGTTGACATTTGCTTTGAAGAGATTTAAGGTGGCCTGAAAGAAGAAGATAATAAAAATTATATTTTCATTATGCCCGAAAAGGCCTTATCTATACTAGAAATAGATAACCGTTTTGAGTTAAAACTTTATAGAATTAATATCAAAATATTATGATAATTAATCTCAAATGTTATGTATGTTTAAACAATTAATTTCAAACATTACTATCATTAATTTAAATATTTTCAAATCAAATAATAAAATAATAATAAGTATTTTCATTATAAATTTTCTTTTGAAAAAACACAAAATATAACAGCATATACTTGAAAAGATTGGAATATCCAACGGCAAATAAGATTAGAGAGAGTCTACTTAGATTGTTTGGTCACATGAAATGTTGGCCTTTTGATTACTTGGTTAGGAGGATTAATATATTAGATTTAACATTTGTTAAGAAACATTGAGATAGACCTAAAAATATTTAATTAGAAAGTATAAGAAATTGCATTTTTTATTAGATTTGAATAAAAATTTCTCTCTTAACAAAACAAGATACAATGAAGAATAAATATTTATGTTACCGACCCCACGTAGTGGAATAAAACTTGATATTATTGATTGTTGTTGTTATTATATATTTATTTATTTTTGTTTGGTTTGAAGTAAAATGAATGCTTTGTAAATTATAAGAATGTTGTGACTGTAGTGTGAGATGGGTTGCGGCCAGCGGCAGGTTAGCTATGGGCGGGGCAACGAAGAGGCAATGGCACTTGTGGTAGGTGGTTTGCAGCATGTGGCAATGGAGACAATGGCCGTTGCGGGTGGTCAAGCAATCACTTAAGCGGTGTAAAGTGTTCTCGCTCAAAATTGTATGAGAATGATTTAGCTCAAAAAATCAATTAAAATGAAATACACTACAAGTCTACAACTATTTTATTTTATCTTAGATTTATTTTCCATCTAACCAAATATAAAAAAATAAAAGAAAATAAATATATTTATTTTGCATTTAACCAAACAGGCGCTTCCTCTTTCCATATAACCTATGTGTTTTTCTAATTTCCATCCAAAAGCCCATATGAAGTCATACAAATGCGAGAGGTGTCCAAACTCGCACCTTTCTTCGAATCTCTTAAGCGCTCCGTTCAAATCTCTACACTTTCTCAGCGCGAGCTCTCTCGTCGCAACCTCCAGATAGGATCTCTAGCTCGCGCCGGCAACATCGCTGCTGCCCGCATGCTGTTCGACAGAATGCCCAACCGCGACGTTGTGTCCTGGAACGCAATGATCACCGCTCACTGGCAGAACAATAACCTCCCCGAGTCCAAGAAGCTTTTTCGCTCCATGCCAGAGAGGAATATTGTTTCCTGGAATACAATGATTGCTGGCTGCCTCAACAACTGCCTTGTCGACGAGGCTTTTTCTTACTTTCTCGAGATGCCCAAGCGGAATGTGGCCTCCTGGAATGTAATGATATCGGGGTTTGTTAAATTTGATCGGATGAATGAAGCAGAGAAGCTGTTTGATGAAATGCCGGAGAGAAATGTGATTTCCTATACAGCAATGCTTGATGGATTGGCTCGCAACGGCATGATAGACTGTGCTCGTAAGCTGTTTGATACAATGGAAGGTAGGAATTTACTCAATTTAGTGTCTTGGGCTGCCATGATAAGTGGGTATGTGGAGAACGGAAGGTTCGAAGAGGCAAGGTATCTTTTTCATCAGATGCCAGAGAAGAATTTGGTTGTAATTACTGCAATGATCACTGGGTATTGTAAAGAGGGGAAGGTGGAAGCTGCAAGGAGCCTTTTTGATGGGATCTCTCATAAGGATATCGTCTCATGGAATGCCATGATTGCCGGTAACAATAGCAAACCTTTGCAGTAAAACTTAGAAGGAGAAGTGTTTACTGAAATTTTCTAGTTTCATATCTTATTAGCATTAGGGTGCGGCCACACCAACACCCATGCACCCATGCACCGGATCCCATTAGAACTCGGTAGTTAAGTGTGCTTGGGCAAGAGTAGTACGAGATTGGGTGACCACCTGAGAAATCCTCACGTTGCACACCTTCTAATCAGCCTTCTCTTTTCCGACCGCATGTAATGGGACAAAGGCTTGATATTGTTATTGTAGATCTTATTAGCATCACCCTTCACCGGTTTCATCATGAATTGCTTTAACAGTGATTGTCAGGTTGCTCATGTCCTTACCTCCTATCCCTTATACTTTTTTTTTTTCCATTTTGCAGGATACTCACATAATGGCTATGGGGAGGAAGCGTTGAAACTGCACATTCTGATGATGGAAGTAGGTATGAGAGCAGATCATGCAACCATTATTGCTTTATTCACAGCATGTTCTGCTCTTTCTTTACTACAGAGAGGAAGGCAAAGCCATGCAATTTCCATCAAAACTAGGCTGGATTCTGACATCTCTCTTTGTAACGCCTTGATGACCATGTATAGCAGATGTGGTAGTATTGGTGATTCTGAGTTCGTCTTTCAAACAATGCAAAATCGAGATGTTGTTTCATGGAATACCATAATTGCAGCATTTGCCCAACATGGATTGTACCAGAAAGTGATGGCCTTGTTCCTGGATATGGAAGCAGATAAATTCATCCCAAATGGAGTAACGTTTCTCAGTATCTTATCTGCCTGTGGTCATTCAGGAAAGGCTAATGAGAGCCTAAAATGGTTTAATTTGATGGTATCTAGATATGAGATAACTCCAATGCCTGAACATTATGGTTGTCTTGTGGATATTCTATGCAAGGCAGGAATGTGGGATGAAGCTTGTAAACATGTTAAAGATATGCCATTTGAAGCTAAGAGAACTATTTGGGGTTCTTTATTGGGGGCCTGCCAGATGTACAGAAATTTAGAGCTAGGGGAAGTAGCTGCTGAAAAGCTGTTTCAGCTAGATCCAAAGTGCTCTGGGGCATATGTTATGTTGTCAAACATTTATGCCGCAGTTGGAATGTGGAAGCAGGTAAGCAGAGTGAGGGAGAAGATGAACAGGTGCGGAGTTAAAAAGCAACCTGGTTATAGTTGGACAGAGATTTCTGATAAAGTTCACATTTTCTTGGTGGGAGATTCATCACATCCAGATATTGGCAGGATTCAGTTCGAACTTAAATGTATTGGTTTGCATATGAGAAACTCTACTGCTGAGGTTGCTGTATCCGACTGCATTTATCAATATAGCTGAAATACAAGAAAGGATTGGCAGGATTCTGTCAATGGATATGGAGATTTCTTTTTTTTTGAAACTGATCGAAGTTTCTCTGATTCAGGTTTCTGACATGGCCCGGCTGCACCCATAGATTGGTAAGTTTTAAAAGAATTTGTTAGCGTATAAGCAAGCCCAGTGCATGAATTAGATTCTCCTGAAATACATGCAAACATCCAATGTGCTTCATTCAGATTATGAACAGACGAGCTCTTTCTTATTTAGGAAATTATTTTGTGATACCTGATGCAAGAGATATTTGCTAGGTGAGGGAGTATTGATTGGTATCATGGCACTTTTACTGCAGAAGGAGAATGTTGGTATGGAAGACTTGATTATCAGACAGAATATGGTATCAAAGGACCAATGGAGAGGCATTTGAATTATCATACTGAAAGGTTCAAAGAATAAAACAGAAATCCCGATGAATTGATGTGATTAAGTACTTTTTTTCTTTTTGCAAGTTGAACAACTCGAATGCGGCATCAACAAGAGGCACAAATGCCCTCAACCATCATGGTGGTTATGTATTTGTTAGTAAGTTATTGGTGTTGATGCTAGTTAACTGTATAGCAATTTGCAGAAAGTGCAGCTGTCTAGTCATAAGGCAAACGTCAAATGCAGTAATCTGTTGGCAAATTTTTTACCTTTTTATATGGGTATATCCATAATGTTTATCATACATGCAATCAATCAAATATAAGCAAAGCGTGATTTGTAAATAATTCTCTGATTTGATTATGAGCCCTAGATAAATTTTACTTGTATATTGTGCTTGAATCTTAACTATATTGTTACCATGTTATATTTGATAGTAACAAGTTGGGGAATTTACATACATACCACTTTATTTCATGTTATTTACATATCTAACATCTAAAACATTAATATTACATTTCTACCACCCAAGAACAAATTTGGATGAGTTTCTTGACATATTCTAAATGGCTAAATTTTTATAGTTCGCTAAAAAATAAATATCCTTATACAATTCAACGTGATCTTCATTATGTTCATTTAATCAAGACATCTAAGAGGATCCCAACGAGTCATCCAAAGTCATAAATAACAAGTTGCCAAAATAACGTCAATGACAAGTTATAAGTTAGGACAACCAAACTTGCTCCGTTATACCCAAAAGAAGCACCCAATTAGTTACTAAATCAGCAAAATATTTATGAACGAAGCACTCAACCAGGAAGAAACCTCCTTCCAACAGGCATCAAATCACGCAAAGCTACACATCCAACTCAAGAATTTTGAAACAAGAGCTCCGGCATAACCCTCTCAAAGATCTTCCTAGGTTCGCTCATTGTGCCAGTTAACACAACCAGGTAAGTAGGGTAAAAGGAAAAAGCAACAACAATTATATTTTTGCTCTGGTTACTATAAATATATATTTTTACTACAGAACAAAGGACATAGTAACACGAAATCCAAACCAACATTCAACAATTTTTTCACTTAGTTTGCAATTCCATTCACAACAGCATACCAGAGTTGCGAGACAACTATAAAAGGTTCACAGTAACATCCCGGTCAAAAGTCATACCAATATTAGTTCAAAACAAAACAAAACATGATAAAGTCAAGACAACAAAGGCAGATAAATGTCCAAATATCCTAGACTATAATGGGCAGACATCAAAATGATTGAGCAAACCATCATGTTCAACTAGGGGGCAGACTTTGCCTTTTAAGCTCTCTCACCACGAATCCTCCTAGCGAGCTGAATGTCCTTTGGCATGATAGTCACTCTCTTCGCATGAATGGCACAAAGGTTTGTATCTTCAAATAGACCAACAAGGTAGGCTTCTGCAGCTTCCTGTAAAGCTAGCACTGCATGGCTCTGGAAACGGAGATCAGTCTGCCAAAAAATAGAACCAGATTACACTACACTTTCTTTATGGAACAGAAGATATTTGCTCATATAGCCAAATTATAAACCTTGAAGTCTTGAGCAATTTCTCTCACAAGTCTCTGAAAAGGAAGCTTCCTGATCAGCAGTTCAGTGCTCTTCTGATACTTGCGAATTTCTCTACATAGTTGCAGGTGAATACAAGGAGACGCAAATTACACATAAAGCAACTCACCAATAACGTCAAGCAATTAAAAAATCGTTTGTGCAGCAATCGCATACCTAAGAGCAACAGTACCAGGACGATAACGATGGGGTTTCTTAACTCCACCAGTGGTAGGGGCAGACTTCCGAGCTGCCTATAGAACCACATGAAATTTTAAACAAAATATTCTTCAACAGTAAATATACACCAAAAAATGTACTAAAAGTAATAATAATAATTTGCTTATAAATATTAACAGTATAAATAAACCTTAGTAGCAAGCTGCTTCCTAGGAGCCTTTCCTCCGGTGGACTTCCTAGCAGTCTGCTTGGTACGAGCCATCTAAGCACAGAAGAAGCCATTTATATAATTAAAAATCACATTGAATCTAAAAACTATATTCTGCAAATCTAGAAACTTAAAAAGAGCTCAGCTTTATGATGAAACTATAACACAAATTCTTCAAAATAAATATGATGTAGAATTGCATAAATAACCTCAATTTAATAGCAAGAAAAAGAATAATAAACATCTATGTGGCCATCTTTTGATTATTTTTGTATTTGGGATTTTTTTTACTTTCAATCAGATTATATTTGACCTGTTGATTCTTATTTCTCTTTGATTGTAATCCTCTCTATGTGGCCATCTTGTGGTCTTATGGTGTAATATTCTTCCTTTAATCAAATTTTCTTTTGTTAAATAATAGCAATAATAATAATAAATATTTATTGTTTATGTACAAGGATCATAAGCTTTGTGAAAGTTTGTTTAACAAAATCATCTACTATTGTATTTTAAAAAATATATTATATAAAGAAGGAGAAATTATGATGATTAGTATTAAGTCTTCATTTGAGACAACTTTATTACTGCTTCTTAAAAAACTTTTTAATACTAGAAAGCTACTTTAAAAAGCAATATTAAGGGCATCTCCAACCGAACTCCAAACACATGAATGGGGTCGCTCGCGAACTCCAACCAAACGACAAAACTTCTGGTATTTGGCTGTGGGTGAACATTGCGACGCCAATATGCAATGTTCACCCGCATTATTTTTTGTCTCTATCGAATTTGTCAAAGAAATGCATCAAAGAGGAGAAAGTTGGTTACCTTCTGCAATGAGAGCAAAATGGAGTTCGATTGTAAATGAATTACACCGTTTTTTAGTTTCACTTATTATAAACTTAAGTTGTATTACACTATTACTATCATCATCATCATCATTTTTTTTTGACATTTAGGCCAATAAAAAAACTTTCACACGCATCAAATATGCAAAACTCCAAACATAAACCACTTAGTTGGTAAACAAAGCTCCCACCTAATAGATGAAGTATGTAGCATTATACTAATAATAATTAGCATAGTAATGTATGGTACACAACAACAAAAGACCTCACCAGCAACTCTAGCTAAATGAATGGAGAGAAAAAATTTGGAAAACAAGAAACTATGGAAAACCAGTGATAAGAGCTTCGTAGGGAAGCATCAATGTCAATTACCTTATTCTATTCCCCTATACAGCAATGCAAGCATTCACTCCTAATTCTTATACATACAAACATATATATAGAAGAGGTATTTAAAAGTAAAATATTGGTGAATATTATAAAATAAGCAAAACTTCAAATTACCAATAAAGATATATAGAATAATGAAGCAAAAAAAGTATTAAGTTCATGTTTTTTGGTAATATAAAAGATGGGAAACAAATACAGGTTTGACATTATTTTAAAGGTTATCAAAGATAGTATAAATATATTATGCATTCCATCAAGAAGTTAAAGAAAGTAAAGAAAACAATATGCACAACTCACCTTGGTCTATTGGTTTGGAGCTTAAGCTTTCAACCAAGAGGTCTTGGGTTCGAGTCTTCTGTATGCTATGTGTGAGTTAGAGTTTGCCTAAATTGGCCTAAATGTCCCAAAAAAAAAGGAAACACTATAACAAATGAGTCACTTTACTTAATTAAGAACTATATGAATTCAAATATCTCTTTCTGTAAATGTCTACTCAAGTTAATTCATATCAGATATCCAATGGTTTCAATAATTTTAAGGATGAATGGACTTGGTCATAGAAGATTTACAATCATTCAAGTCCCTTTTTCTATATATTGAATTCGTCCAATAACGGTTACATAAATTACCATAATATTAAACCAAACAAAAGAACATGAAAATTCAAAGTTTGGGTAAATAGCTATAAATTAATCTTAAGAATAAACTTAATAATTGATTAAACAAATCTTAAGGCAGGTTGCAGTCGTAATAGTTTTATTATAAAAAATCAATCCATTTAAAATAGCTTCTATCAGTTTTTAATTAAACATAACAGAAACAAGAAAATGGAGAATATCACGGTCCTGCATGATATTGAATAAGAATCAAGTCAGTTATTCTTCATACCTCCCAAACAAAATCATACACTTAGATAACAAAATGCGTAAATAACAGTATCATGACAACTAATGCAAAAGGTTATACTTTTAATCATGAAAAGATATTCATTTTAGATTATTTGAATGCGTAGAAAAAAGGAAGCTAAATTAATAAAAAAGACCTGCTGAGATAAGCACCTTCTAAGTTCTAATTCCACATATTAAAAACAATAAAAAAACAGATAAAAAAATAAATTGAGAAAGGAAACATTAGAAGAAATCACGCAGAAGAACGCCAGATTTCAAAACCCTATCTTCGATCCCAAGCTTAGATTTTTTTTATTATTATTGCAAAAGCGAATTAGCAACCTCATACAGCCCATTGCCGAAGCCCTAATTAAAATTAAAAATTCTTAGAACGAAATAAAAATACTTCGTACCTCTGCTCAGTTCCCTTCCCTTCGTTTTTCCCTTCAATAATTTGCCCCGAGTATGGCGATATGTAAAATAGCAAAGCGGAGGCAGGTTGAGAGCTATTTATACAACTTTTACCTCACCGATAACGCGCCTAAGGCGTTGTATCTAACGGTTGACGTGTGTTGTTTCTTGTCCTCATAATCTAAATGGACGATCAAAATTCACTTTTGTTTGTTTAATCTCCCGGATTGCCACGCTGTATCCTTCCATTCTGATTGGTTATAAAGTGTTTCTGCCGGATAGTATATGAATAATTAGAATTAGTTTAAAACTCTAAACCTACATGTAAACAAATAAATAGTAATTTTAGCCGTTTTTTTTTTATTTATATTGGTGAATATATACTAACTACTTAACAAATAACATGAAAAAAAAATTAAAATTAAAAATTCAGTATTTTACTATAACATATTTGTTGTTGCTATTATTAATTTATTAATATTTATTTGTATTAAAAAAATACATATATGAGGCAATATTGAGAAGATAGACAAATATGATAATTTGTCGTTTTATTTTTTATTTATGATTAATAATAAGCATTAACTAAATAGTAAATATTTAGAATAAAAGTTTACTTGCATATATTATAACATGCATAGTCTAATTGAATCTTGTATTCACCAAAGTTATTGACTTATTTAGTGGATTTTTTTTTTTTTTTTTTTGACTTGATTGAATACTAATAATTGACTTCTCAACTTAAGCAAATAAATCTGAAGAATGTTTCATTTAGAATAATTTTTTTATTGATTTCAAAAGTAATTTTTTAGTACAAATATTTTTATATAAAAAAATTTTAAACTAAAAAACTATCTTAAAAAACACTAAGAAAGATCTCTCAAATGAATACTAAGGCTTTGTTGAGACGGCTTTCTTACTGTTTCTTAAAATATTTTTTTAGTATAAAAAATAAAATTTTTATACTAGAAAACTATTTTAAGAAACAATAAAAAACTCATCCCAAATGAAACCACGCTTTCTTATTGCTTCAAACAATAAATTTTTTTAAATTTTATACTTTAAGAAGCAGTAAAAAAGTTGTCCCAAACGAGGCATAAGTTTTGGAATTGCAATATTATAGTGAGTTTTCTTTGATCTAATGAGTACATGATTGTCTTAGCGAATTTTTGAACGTCCCAATGAGTTCATTGTTTCTATACTTTTAATTCAATAAGATATATTTTGAGTCAGATCGGTTGAGCTTGAATCGAATTCTTAAAATATTTGATTATACATCTTAGATTAATATTTTTTATTCATAAAATATTAAAATAAATATTGAGTACTGATACGTCATCACAAAATTAACTTGATCGGGCACGAATCTCGAGGCAAAAACTAGTTGGAAACTTCAAAAATTAATTTTGGGAGTACCCGAACTCCGATTTCAGCGAGCTCACAGTCAAACTGAGCGTCTCAGAAATACAAGCTCAACGACACCAAATTCAACTAAATCCGAGTCCAAATGAGTCCGAATTAAGGACCCGAAGCGCAGTTGGAAGGTTCAAACCGCAATTTGAGTTACCAAACGGTCTCTTTCAGGGGTTTTCCACGTAAAAATCTTGGTGTCTCATAAATGTTAGACCCTCTCTCTTTATCTGATTGCGTGCCGGATTTTCGTACAACGCTAAGATGATAAATCTTATATTTCTCTACCGCCGCGAATACTCCTAGACGCAACAAGTACATAACTATCTAAGATAAACAAAACTGTGTACTTATTTATTAAAGACGAGCCAATATTTGACTTTAGCTTCAAGGTAAAAAATAAAAAATAATATAATACTGTTCGGAACTTCCGCATCCTTCCTTATTTTCTTGGATAGGTGCCCAATGGGCTCGTTAGGCCTAATTTTAAAGTGGAGCTCCGAATTCAGCCCAAAATTGTGAAAGGCTCTTATAACTTGGATAAAGAAGCTCGCTTTAGACCGACCGGTTCAACTTCTGAAATTAGGTATTTATTCAATTATTTAAACGTTTTAATAATTTCATTAGAGCTAAATTAATACATAAACAGCAAAAATGTATGCTCATTCTTTGAAAAATTCTGACCCAAATTGTTCCTGCATTATATATGTTTTAAATATTTACTTTAAGTTTATTTTTTATGCAATTACTAGTTGATTAATCTTTTTTTTTTTCTTAATGTCATAGAAAAAAAAACTAGGGATAATTTAAAGGAAAGGCTAGGGTAGGGGTGTAAACGATTCGAATTGAGTCGAGAATCTGACTAATCAAGCTAAGTTTGTTTAACTCTTATTGAGCTCGTCTGAAAATTGTTAGGCGCGAGCTTGGCTTATTTACTCGAGCTTGTTAAAATATCTTATTTGTTGCTTTCCACAATTTTGAAGGGCAAAATGATAGAAATACCTCCACTTTCATGTGAGAGTGCTCAATCAATTCCTATATACCATGTCTTCGTCTCCACTACTGTAGCTCCCCTCAAGCCATTCTCGTCTTTGTGATGGCACATGGAAGCCACAGGCCACCTCAAGGCATGGCGTGGCCACATCAAGGCATGGCGTGAGCGTGGCAGTGGAAATGGCGGCAATGCTCTTTTTTACCGCTTTGAACTCCTTCTCGACATGACCGCCATGACTCCCACAGTCGTCGTCGTCTCTCTAGTTGAGTTCGCTATTAGCTTGTTCAAGTGTGATCACTTCGTGATCGATCTCGCATCCACCGCCGACACTTGTGAATGCTCCCCCGATGGCAACCCTAGAAGCATCAAAGAATTTAACTACGGTTGTTCGTCATTTATAGGCTATCACGTGTTCATGATGTCGTTGACGTTCGCCGGCGAGGGATGGCTAGCTAGATAGTCAGTTGCGGAGGTCGGCGTACATCACATGAGATGCACCGAGGATGCAAGGCATTTGTTGTTGGAGCCACGTAGAGCAAATATATCATTGATATCATAAGAAACTTATTTGATGCTCATATTTTGTGAAAGAAGATTTTTTTTTTTTTCAAAATTTAGAATATGTAATTTCATGAATTTGTTATAAATTAAAATCATTATTATTTTGAAAAATATATAAGAGTATATAAGTAATTTGTTCTCATACTTTTCAAATAAAACAAATAAATCTATGCATATCAATTTTAAAAAACAGTTTTATGTAAATCAATTTCACAATCTGCTATACCCAAAATACTTAAAGCAATTTTTAAATATGAAGAAGATCGTTCAAACGAAGACTTCGTTTGGGATGATTTTTTTTCCTGCTTTTTAAAATAGTTTTTTAGTACAAAATTTTAAATTTTGTAAAAAAAAATAGCTTTAAAAAATAGTAAGAAATCAGTCCAAATGAAGCCGAAAAGTCTTAAGCATCGGTCAGAATTGGCTGCCGGTGGTCCCCATACCAATGGATGGGCCCCACCTCAAGTTCAATTTGTTTTTTCTTCCTAAACATATTTTTTGACTTGTTTACGTATTTAAAAAAAAAAAGTTAAATGTCCGTGTTTTTATAGCTGATAGGGATGGGATGCGGTGGCGTGTAGCTTCTCCAGTTCTTGAATGTGGGGTCCACTTTCCGAAAGCTGTGGGCCACAGCAAAGAAGTGGTCGTCTTTGCCCGTTAAGAGTCAGCTTTGGCCGGCTTCATTTTGCGGGATGCCAAAATGATAAATTTTTCTTTAATATCTTTTGATTTAAACAATTAGTTTTTTTTTTATATTTACTTATTTATATTTTTTTGTCTGTGTGTTTTTTTTTTCAGTATAGATAAATATTAGAATTATAATGCCTTTTATTAAGTTGAAATAATATTTTAATATTAAAATATGTAGATATATAAGTAGTTGAAAAAGTAATTAAAAAAATTAAATATGTAAATATATAAGTAGTAAATCTCTAAATCACATTAAAAAATTAACGATGTTAACTTCTTTTAAAAAAATTACAACTTCTAGCTATCACAAAGCATTCAAAGTGGTTTTCATTCATCCGATTAATATTTTGGCTAATTATCTTAAATTGAATTAATGAATCTAATTATCTAAAGCTAAAAAATCATTTTCATTTATGTTATTTTTTTTATTTAATTATTTATCTTAGCTTTAAATTAGTTTAACAGTGTTATCAAAAATTCTAAATTTTATTTAAATCATGAAATTATTTTGAGAATCACACTTCATGTATTTCTATTAGAATTATATAATTCGTGGTCACTTTGGGATGACTGCAATTTTTTATAAAGGTGGCGACAATGACCGTCGAACATCTATATGAAAGTCACTAACGAGCCTTCCTCTGAAATTGTCGCCCGACAATGGTCCATTAAACCACTGTCGCTCGCCGACTATGTCCCTCTGACTTTTATCACCAAATGACTACGCTCCCTTCGACCACCGTCACCCGTCAACTACAATCATTCCAACTACCATCGTCCAACACTCCAACTAGGGTACTTTCAACCACCATAGACAAAAGAGAGTGCAACACACAATAAAGCACGTGAGTGGGAGTGCGCGACTTCGAGTCTTTGCACGAGGTGGGGGGGGCGAGTCGGGGGGGGGGGGGGGGCTAGGTTTATAATTAAAATGTTCAAAGTTATTCAATTAATTAATTAAATGACCATAAATATGCTTAAAAAAAGTCATAAATAAGTTATGGAACTTATTGAATCATTGGTAACTCTAAAAGGAATAAATGTTTTTAATAAAATTATTAAAAAGCAATAAACAATATAAATATCACTTTACAACTAAATTATGACAAAGCTGTAAAGCAACGACCGTAAAGTTGGCCATTATCCGCAAAGCTGTCTTAAAACAACTCCATTGCCGACTAATTAAGACGCTAATCACATGCTTAAGTGCTTAACGACGCCATTAAAAACAACAAAGTTAAGACTTAATATATGATTAGCCAATCGGATGCCTGATGGCTTATAGGGATGAGCAGAGATTAGTGAGGTCCCTTTCTTTATTTCTTGTTTAGTAGTTTACACTGTACACGTGTCACACATCGCCACCGTGGCCCGATGTTTTTAAATCACT